GCCTAAGTTGCATGTCAGTGCAAGTCCTGAGTGAAGAATTTTAGGCAGCCTATTCTTGCTGGGCACTCCTGTTCCCACCTGCTCCATTTCTTTTTCTCATTAGGGTCTGAGCCTGCAATCAACAGCTGAGTGAGCCAGAGTTCCTTTGTCCTCAAATTCCTATTGAAATCATTAAAAGAAGGTGTAAATAGAGACAAATCATACCAGCATAGGAATTCCACGATGGGCATTAATCATGTACTAGAAACCTGGAGAAAGTTTTGCTAACAATGAAACTAAAGTGCTGGCCCAAAAAGGCCATTGCTGGAAGAGTCATGACTCTCTCTAATGAGAGAGAGCCTTGCCTGGGAAGACTCTACTGCTTTTCAGAACCCCTGCTGAACTTGGAGGGATAAGAGTTCTGGAAGGAAGAAGTTGAGGCTGGGCAGAAGGGCCAGGTGGAAATCCCATCACCTAGGTCCCTCTTGTTTTTGTGGACCTTAGGAGTTGAGTCTCTACTTTTAGTGTGAGTAAGACACTGACATTTTTTTATTGCACAGCAAGCAGAGATTTGAGTACTGTGTGGAGGGAGAGTTCTTTTCCAAGGCAACACATCCATCACAACTCAGCAGTTAAACACCTGGCTGTCTTCTGGTTTAGGTTCCTTTTGCACTCTACCTGGGCTGGTAGCTCTCAGAACCAGTCATCCCCAGGTGCACAGAGCCTCTGCCTCCAGTATAGGTTTGCTGGCCTCCATCTGAGAGACCTTCCTCTTGCCTTCCCCGGTTTTCCAACTCTTATTTGGCTTTCCACTTTGGTTTATTAATAACCTTTTTGCTTCTCAGTCACCATTCTCCCTTGGATACTCTTGGTAACTGCTCTTGAGTCCCTATACAACACTACCCAGAAACCCTTGCCCATCCAGTTTTAAGCCAGTTGTAAACACAACTTTGAATCTGGCAAAGTGGTACCCGGTACAGTACCCACTGACCAGTTCTTTTTATGCTATCATCAAACTTTATCATATAAACTAAACTTTTGGACTCCTTGAAAAAATTCTGGTCACTTCTATTTTGAGGCCCTTGCCCTTTACTCAGACCATCATTTGGTACTGAGTTGACCCATTTCCTTTGCTCTAGTTCTGACTTCAAGCTAGAGCAAGCAAAGATTCACTCAGAGCCCCACTGTCAACCATCACTGGAGATGGAATTTTTTGCAAGCTGTCCTAAGCCTTCCACTCTGACTGCTAAGGGATAGTACCCTAGACCCTGGGGATTCCCATATCTCTGTCTCCCTTAGTTAGGGGAGTTTCTACATCTTGTGGAAAGGGTCACTGCGAAAATGCACAAATACCCTTGCTGCTAGGCCTGACCTACTGTGCCCTCTAATGCTATGTTCAGCTAGTCCCACCCACCATCCTTACCCTGTCACTTGAGGCTGAGGCAGGAAGCATGTAAGTGAGAGGGTTATTATTAGCCTCTGGAAAGCCTCCCATACACATACCTGGAGAATTTATTAGTGAGTACAGACATCACAGCAAGTTATGGGCAGGATATCAAGTGTCACCATCTACCAGGGAGATATTTTTCACAATTCAGCTCTTGGATATAACACAGTTACTAACCCTCAAATTGAACTATTATGTAAAGTAATGAGTTTAGTTGTGTTAGCAATACCCTGGGCCAAGCAGGACACCAGGATCATAAACACTTATGCACACACGTCTGTGCACTGCTTCTCAGTTGGTTTAAGAGGGTCTGAGAACTTGCTTTCTCTTTTCCTCTGGAATGTTCCTTCTGGCTTTAAAATTTTTTTTTGAAACAGAGGTCCAGTTCTAAATTGATATTCTTGGATCAGGTTGTTAATGGGTTTTGCAGAAATGAGTGTTCTTCACTGACTCCTGGTAGTACCCACAGAACTTTACTTCCTAGGAAATGGTCCAATGTGGTCATGAGGTGATGGCAGAAACCTTTTCTAAGTATGTGGTTTACATTTATTCTTAGACTAGTGCATGCCCTCTCCATTTTGCAATGGCCTTGCTGAACTGGTATTTGACTGGGTATAATTTTAAATCAGCTTCACCTAGTGTATCAGTTTGGGTTCTAACAGGAAACAGATGGCATA